AACCCTGAGCCGGTGAGATTTGAACCGCTGAACTGCTGATCTAGCAGTAGCCTGCAGTGCTGCATTTAACCACTGCGCCACCTTGGCTCCTTGGAGCAACATACCATACATACATACATGAATACATGATTACTCTTTGAATAATCATCCTTCTTCCTATTAGCACAGTCAGGGGACATTTCCCACCTGTGTCAAGCTGGAGAGGATAATTAGGCAAAATAATCAACCCAATCAGACCAGGTCAGCAAAGAATAAGCACCACTACCACTTACCTCAGGATTAGAGAAAGAACCAGAAAACAAAATAGCCAGAATTATGCCTGGATATTGCTACATCCATTACCTGGATCAACATGTTTTACTCTGTCCAATGGCAAGGACACTTCTACATATATAATAAATAGAAATAATTTCCCCCAAACATGAAGAGATTTTAATTTAAAATTTGCCTTTAACCAGAACAGGACTTTAGGTCTATACAAGCTTGTATGGTGTAGATCTGGGACAATGCTGTCAAGAACAGGTAATGCTTAATACAAGGACAGATACATTTTTGCTTCCTGTTACTTTCCAATCTCATCCAAAAGAGCGGGGTAACCTAAGACAATCCATCAGGCCTATATGGACAGTATTTATGAATCTCTGTATCTCACCATTATTTTAAGGCTTCCTGCAGATAGATACCGTGTGATCACTCATTTTTGTCTACTAATTCCCTGGTGATCACCAATTTCTGTCTACTAATTTCCAATGCATTACAAATATCATGTTATTCTTAATTTTTATCATACTAAAGTAACTTTAGTATGACAGAATAGTGAATGAGGAACAAATTCCATTATGTTTCATATAAGAAGCCATCTGCTCATCAGAAAGCACAATCAAGCAGATTGTTACAGTATTTAAAAATTCAAGTTCTGAAAACTGGATTTGAAAACACACCCCTGGACCAAATATATGGAATTAAAAGTAAATACAGTATATATAAATTAATCAGCAATACTAATTCTAGTTAATAATACTAGTTCTAATTAATAAGTTTGTGCCTTCGAGGTCTACACTCTATGATTCAGCATCAGGTAAGTTTCCTGTATATAGCAGCAGATGTTTAGTGAGGACAGATAAGTGTTTAAATTATCTTAGCAATGATATGACTGGAATTTCATGCCTTTTAGCAGGAAGCTATGTTTACAGCCATACTTGTGAACTGTGATGCCAGTTCCCTATTCTGGTTCATAAGGCTTAATAAATGAGCAAACACAAGACTAATCTGTTTTCCCATATTATACAGATAGAATGAAGGCTTGTTGGAATGTCATTAATTTGGACAAATATACATTCTGAGGCAGATTGAAATAATAGTAACATTCCATTGCCTCATTCTCTTTTTTCTTGACATTACAAAGCATCTATTATTATCTGATCGGACTCTTCATTTAGCCCAAAGAGCTGCTCCATGCAGGGTGTCTGAATCACAGCTGTAAAAATAACAGCTGCTCTGGGGACAACAAATACAAAATATTGTTTTGTTCTTTATAGCTTTCATTTAGAAAACATAAATTTACAGGAGGCTTTCTGGCACAAACAAGTAGTTAGAAGACATCTTAGTGGTATCAAAGCTCTTGTTTCCAATTTTTATAGGCTACATTAATTTAACTGCTCATTTTGAAATGCTTTCTGAAACTTTCGAGTGACAGCACTGCATAGCATGACAGTCTTAAGTCACAAAGCCAGAAGAGACAAAGATCTCCAAGCCATAGTATTACCACCATAATATATTGGAGCTCACCTTTTGTTACTTGTGGTGAGCAAAACTGGAAGGTTTGCATCTGATCTCAATAATCACAAATACAGAAAGTAGGAAAGGCGCTGACTAAAAATATTAAATAACTTAATACAAATTACATTTGTACATCTATTACATTGTTGAAAGAAATGTCCTTTTGGGTTCAGCTCCAAGTGGGGAAGAAGACACCGGAGACATGGAGGCTGCTTGGAAAGATGGTTTATTGTTGGGCAGGGCCACATGGCTTGAGCCCTGAACAGAAAAGGTGATCACATGTTTCAATGTTGATGGAGAAGAAGAGAAGGGCTGAGGAAGGGGCTTGCTAGGCTTTTATACCCTGTTCAGTCCCACCTCTCTGTTTCCTGTTCCTGTGTAAGAAATGTATTCTGACTGGTTGTCAGACTCCCATGGTGCCATGCAGGGGGCTACTCTCTAGGCTGTGATGAGTTCTCAGTTGCCTTGTGGTCAGTTGAGTAATATCCCTTCCCCCTACAGCTGCAGTGAGGAGAAGTCTTTATTATGTAAAGTGGGCTAGCCTGGCCATCTTAATGGCCCATTAGCTGGGGATGGGCAGAAAGCTATAGGCAACTATTCTGTCTTTTGAAACATGTTTCTTTTCACATCCAGAGAAATATTCTGCCTTTTCAATATTTCCTAGGATATTTCATTTTTCTGGGAGAGGGCTGGATGATAACTTCCCACAACATTGAACCAACAAGTCTAAAGTGAATGTAATGTATATTTCTGGTTTCCCTATTTTAAATTCCTGCCACGCTCACAGAGTTCCAACTGTTTATCGCATGTCAAGACAGATGGAGATATATGTCAGTAAATAGATCCATGCATAATGCCAAGAAGCAGGGCCATGAGATGGGTTACAGAGAAACTTCCCTAGGTAGGTTCTGAACAGGTCAAACTGAAGAGGTTTGTGTACAATGTTTGGGGTAATATTCATCATACAGAGCAGGGAAGCAATGTTTATGTATAGTACATACCAATTTAATATGTGCTTGTTTCTGGTACTTTTCACTGTAGTACTGTTCTTGTCGCAGGTTCAGCAGCTGCTGCTGCTGTTTTTCTTTGAGCTCTATTAACTTCTGTGTCATTTCTGAATCAAGGGCAGCCAACTCTTGTTCAACAGTTGAAGGGCTATGATCTGGGCTGCCAGTTTCACTTCTAGAGCACAATACAGAATAATAAATATAAATTTCAGCAATACAAATACAGAGATCTGGTCCCCCAGATGACTCCCATTATTCCATTAGCCAGTATAACATTGACCTAGCAAAGATTATTGAACTCTTTTTTCCTTGTCTTATGGCAAATGTGTACATCTGGTGTTCACATATGTATATAGAGAATTCTTCATATCTTGAAATATGGATGACCAGTGCATTCAGACAACAATCTTGAATTTAATTCAATTTCTATAGTACCCCTAAAAGAAAGCTGCTAGGAACAGCAGTTCTATAACAAAAAGGGATGAAGGTTGGTTAGATTATTATTGTTGGGTAACTCAATTGATGACTTTTCAATGAATATTGGAGAAATAAGACAAAATATTGAAGCTTTGGTTTTCATAAGTTTCATCTAATGACATTATGAATGTCATTGGGATTAGCAATATTTCACAATTCAGCTTACCAAATCAATTGGTTCATTTTTTTTACAAACAAAAACAAAAAAATCTGAGCATCCCCAAACCGCATAGCATCCTAATGTGAAACTATTTAATGAACTCCAAAGAGCAGAGTTCATAAAGACTAAGGATTTGTCAAAGGAAAGCAAGCTTGGAACAACATACAAAACCCAAATGAGAAAAATAATCTGCACAAAATGGAAACTGAACAAAACTCCCTAAGGAACAGCGTGATATTTTTGGTCTTGGGAAAGAACTGCTACTATGAAAGTGAGGCAAGAAGGGAAAGCGATGAATGGAGCATGTGAACCAAACAGAGCAACTGCAAAATAAATAATAACAGTAGTACATTCCACCACCCCCTACCCCCAATCCCAAAATTAAAAGCCAGGCCAATATAAATGAAATGCATCTCCCTGAGCCCTGACAGTTATATCAGAGATGCTTATAGTTCTACCCAGGTATTAAGCCAGTTGCCTAGGAAACCACAAGCTTAAAAGGAGAGATGGCTAAAGGACCAAGTTCCATCTGGAGAAAGGTAATAATCAAGCCCTGAACACAATGTGAGATTTGTGCAAATATAAGGATGAAGGGTAGCAGCTCAAATCTAGAAACCCACTCTGACAATGAGGCTGGGAACACCTACGCAAAGAGAAAATGGCTTAAATTTATTGGCACTGAATTCTGACCTAGTTAACTGGGTCTGACCCCTGAAACTTTCTGTAAACTGATGGGATACGGATGAGGGCCTTCCTCTCTCTGATCGACATTCAGATGTATGCACGATGCATGTAGCCCTTCTCCCCCAGCATCAACATCCGCAACCTCTTGTAAGACCTTAATGCTGAAAACCTCTGCCCATTTTTCTCCCCCACATATTTTTGTGTTAAAAAAATCGAATGACACCAGTCAAGAGACACTAAGCACTTTTTAAAAACACTTAATGACTTGCCTCCAGAAGATGTGGGTGCTCTAGCGCTGGAGTTTTTAAAGCAGAGATTGGACCACTGCTTGTCTGAAATAGTATAAAGTTTCCTGCCTGAGCAGAAAGTTGGATTAGGAGATCTCCAAGGCCCTTTCCAACTCTGTTATTCTGTTATGTAGGCCTGACCAGAGAGCTGTAGGACAGTTTTTAGTCAATTTTTCTGAATATTACTCATAACTACATGCCATACCAACCCCTGGATCAATTTGTCACTGGCGTGAATGGCAGAAGCTTCCACATCACAGTAAGCTAAAGATAAAGGTAAAGGTTCCCCTCTCACATATGTGTGCAGGAGAAACCTTTGTGTTCCCATCTCGGGGGCACTGCTCATCTAAGAGTCAGCACTGTCTGAAGACGTCTCCGTGGTCATGTAGCTGTCATGACTAAATGCCAAAGGAGCATGGAACACTGTTACCTTCCCACCAAAGGTGGTCCCTATTTTTCTACTTGCATATTTACATGCTTTCGAACTGCTAGGTAGGCAGAAGCTGGGACAAGTAACGGGAGCTCACTCCGTTATGCAGCACTAAGGATTTGAACCACCGAACTGCCGGCCATCCTTTTTCGCAAGCTCAGTGTCTTAGCCACTGAGCCACTGTGTCCCTCCCACATCACAGTGGCTTTATATATAAAGCAGCACAACAGAAATTGCTTCACTCAGCATAATGGAAACTCCAGTATTGTCTGGAAGGACACATGAGACCCAATCATGAAATAAACTATTTGCAAGAAAGGCCAAAGGAATCTTTGTAAGAAGATAGACATACTTTTTCTTACTGTCTCTCTTAGCTGTTTTCTCCAACACTGCCCTCCGTCGCAGATAATCATTTTGAATTTCATTATATTTTGAGGTATGCTCTTTTATAAGATCTGTTGTTTTTTTGTGATGTCTCTTCACAAGATCCTTCATTTCTTTGTAGTGCTTCTTCTGAAGTTTCACAAATGCCTTCTGTTGCTTTAGTTCCTCAATGGTTTGTGCTTCAACTTCTGCAAAAATAAGGGGAACGGTGTTATCGCAGCACAACACTAGACATGCAAGGGATATGCATTGTTTTATCAACAGGTTTTTGCTGCTACTGCATGAAGCTGCATTTAAAAACAATTATCTTATTCCAATAGAAGAGAATGTACATAGCTTAGGATTGAACTGTGGGGTCCCAGTGCTCTCTGAGCTTGGTTGTTAGCTTGTAAACACTGCTCCAGTTAGGCAACATCATCAGTGTAGGTGTGGGATTTGCTCCCCGTTTATACACAGTAGCTTGTCCTGCCAGTTTTGATGACAGTATGGTTTTCTCCTTGGTAGATTCTCAACTGTTTTTTCTGCTTGATTGTTTGCCTGGTGTTAATCCCTGTTTATCTGGGTGTTGGCTGCTAGAGAGGATGTGTTTTAGTATATTTTTGTACTTCTTAGTTTTTTATTGTCTCTTTTGAGTGGTGTATAATTATTGATTTATTTCTATGGGTGCATTGATGGCTGATTTGAAATTGAGTCTATGTGTTGTAAAATTAAGGAGTTTTCATTGTGTCTTCTGACTGCTAGTTGATGTTCTTGGATTTGCTTTGTCTTCTAACTGTCTACCCTACATAGTGGTCGTTAACAGTTTTTACACTGTATGTTGTATATGATTCCTGTTGTTTTTTTTTCCTTGGGCTGCTGGTTTTTTTTTTGGTTTACTTATGTTTTGGAGGGTTTTAGTTGGTTTGTGTGCTATGGTGATGCTATGTGGCTGTAGTAGGCTGTTGGTTGTTTTTTATATGCTTTTGATGTATAGTAGTATAATTTTTTTTCCAGAACTTGTGTATGTTGTGTTGTACACTGGGTTGAGTAGTCAGATACTTTTTGATAAAGTTATATGGGTATCCATTTTGTTGGAAGATATTGTAAAGGCCATTTGTTTCCTTTTTTGGTGTCATGGGTCACTGTAGTGTGTTTGTAATAAATGCACTGTGTAGTGCATAGAGTACTGCATTGCACTTGTACTGTGTTGCATTTGTACATTGTAGTGTACACTGTACACTTTGCACTACACTTGTACACTGCACTGAATGTCTGCTCCTCTGAATTGCACAAGTACATACTGCATCCACTGCAGCAACTTCTTCTTGTCTTTATGTGATCTTATGAGCCGCGGTGGTATATCCTTGGAAGGATGGAAGGCTGAGTCAACCTTGAGCTTGATGTGATTTGAACTGTCAAATTGCAGCCAGCCAGCAGGCAGCAGAAGTAGCCTGCAGTACTGGTTAGAACGCAGTACTGCAGGCTACTTCTGCTGTTGCTGCCTGCCTGCAATTTGGCAGTTCAAATCTCATCAAGCTCAAAGTTGACTCAGCCTTCAATCCTTCGTACGTGGGTAAAATGAGGACCCAAATTGGTGGGGGCAATAGGCTGACTCTGTAAACCGCTTAGAGAGGGTTGTAAAGACTGTAAAGCGATATATAAGTCTAAGTACTATTGCTATCTTATCAGAATTATATTATTCAAGAGTCTCAACTTGTATGAATTATGTAATTCAGGATATTTGAAAGATAAAGATATTTCAATTCAGTTTATTTTTATTAATTAGCGATCATTATTTATACTACTGAATCATCTCACCTAAAGATAGACATATTACTAAATAGTCCCCACATTTATTAATACATTCCACAATATAAAAATGACAGAGTTCAGCAAGGTATATTCTACGTAAGTGCATCTGTTATTTAGTGTAGAGAATTCTAGTTATTTATGGTATGTAAATTTAGAACATGTTCTTCACATCAGATCAGCAAGGTACGAGTTATTCATAAGGAATACAGAAGGTTTATATCTCAAGGAGCACCTCAGCCATATTTTTATGCAAGCAGATTGTACATGTAACTCATTGCTCATTTCTGTGTTCGAAAACAGTAAATGATCCTGTATTGTTTCTTGAGAAGTAAAGGATAAAGATATCCATCTGTGTATCCTCATGTATACGCACAAGAGCTTTTGTATAGCTTTAAGATTTTTTTGTTTTGGCTACAACTTTTTGCTCTAAAGTGAATGAATTTATATAGCAAATTCAAGAGTTACTTAATCATGCCAGGTAGAAACTACTGATGCTTGGAGGGAACACTATTTAATCTATTATTTGCATTGCTGTTCATATGCCGGCTTATCAAATTCAAACACATGCAAATGCATCTTGGATCCTTAAATATGGATTTAGAACTAAACTCAGACATCATTTGGCTTCCAGTTATTTATCCTGTCGGGGTGAAATTGCAGCATTCCAGTAATTTGGCCTCACTCCTTATTTTTAAAATCCCTTAAATGTATAATTGTTCTTTCTAGAAAATAGTTAAAGACCACCAGGGAGTCATTCTGAACAATAAACAGATTAAAATAGCTATTTGTATGTGGTATGCTTTTTCTTGCAACATTCCCATTAATTTGTTTAAGAGATACTGTTGTACAGCACTATCACGTTTCTTACCTGTCAGGACACTCTGAATCAGATCTTCTGTTTTGGCTGGAACTTTCACAGAACCTAGGTGTAAATAACATCAATATTTCAACTGGTCTGAAATGATAATACAAAACATTATAGACGGTCATTCTTCTCATTGGTTCTGAAAGAACCAGAGGATATAATGCCATCCTTGTTCATGCTGTATTGACAAATAACATGTTTTTAGCTGTAGAACAGGCTTTCCCAATCCACTACCTGCCCTCAAATCAATCTGCCCAGACTCTAATAAAAGAACAGCTTTCTAGGTTCTGCCCCTTTGAAACAAAGTTAGCATCCACATGGAAGCAGTTTTGTCAGCGGCCCCTCAGAGTTGCTCATTGGTTGAAGCTTGTCTAGTCCTAACTCTGAATCTTCAGGCATAAGATGAAAACCTGTTTTTATTTTGTTGATCTACTTTTTAGCTCCTAAAACCTGTTGACTGACTGAGGCTTTGATGTACGCATTTTTTGTGTGGCTTTAAATACATATCTTGTTTTTTCCCCTTTATATTAGCTGCTTTGAAAGCTTTATAAGAGAAAAGTAGGCTAAACATATTTAAAATACATCCCCGGAGCTGATGATAAAAAATTGTCTCTCCATTATTTGATGGTATTAGTTCCTTTTCTTAATGTGTGGGTATATATTTAAGTATATATTTAAAGTTAAATTGGGGCTGTACTTTCGTGCCAGCATGCAAGTCACATTATCTCTCCGTGTGTACCTATCCCAAGCAGGATGAAAAAACTTTTGTCCCCGATACTGTAAGAGCCTCCATTACCCTAAGTGATCCAAGCCACTTAGAGTCACTTATTGAAGTTGAGGTTGGGTTTCCAGGGAGATATATACGTACAGATGAGTGCTGTGGCCAAACATTGCTGCTATTTATCTCATTGATAAATAAATTATGCCTCAATCCTCTTGGTTATTTTGCCTCATGAATGTAAATAGGAAAAAGGCATGTTGCCTCACTCTGTCACTGCTGCTTGTTTCAATGACTGCCAGAAGTGAGGCCAGCCATTGTGATTTCACACTAATGTTGCCTATGTCACAAGACAGGGCCTTTGTGACCTCAAGATGATGCTTGCCATTTAAAGGAGAAAGTCTGTCCATTAGGACCTAATGCAGATGACATTTAGCTGGGGGTTAACTTGTACTCTCAAGAAGACAAACTGGATGGGTGCCCCATCCTTTTAAACCTATTTCTAGAACTGGGTTACAGCAGGCTTCTCTTGCTCAGGTGCTCTGCAGATTAATGGACTTCAATTCTCAGAAGGGATACAGTAGGAATCTAAGGACAGCAAGGTGTATTTTTGTTTCCCTTGCTCTCTCAGATATTGTTCTTCAAAGTTTCCAATTTCCCTTTGGAATAAAAGCAGGGGAGAAGATGCTTCTGCAGGCAAAAAATACTTTGTGAACAAAACTGCTGATATTTGTGAACAAAACTGCTGATATTCACTCTGAAATGGCTGCTGTTTGCTCAATTTAGTAAAGTAATCCCATTGTGTGGGGTTATTTTGTGGGACCCAAAGAAACAATTAAGAATTAAAAATTTACTATACACTTTTTGAAAGGTAGGAGTGGTGCCCTTTAAACTCGATGGAGGCAATGATAATTTTTTTTTCATGAAGAGATCATCTCTTAATCTAGAAGCTTGGATAACTTCCATTCATTCGACAATCTTAATTTTCTAACAGATTTTGCAGAAGGTAATAGGATTTCCAGCTACAAAACTTCTAGAGGCAATGAATTATCTGGACTTCTTAAGTTGCAATTTGGACCAGGGCATGGGATTGAGACAGCATTAATTGCTTTGATGGATGACCTACCTAGTGTGTCCCATTAGATATCTTGGTAGCATTGACTACTATTAATCACAGTATCCTTCTGAATTGCCTTCAACGTTTTAGGGTTGAAGGCAATGAGTTACAGTGATTCCATTTCCTGAGACGATGATTCCAATTGGCGATCATGGCAGAGGAACATACTAGCCCTTGGTTGATCTAATATGGGTTGCTGTAGCAGTTCTCTCTCTCTTCCATGTTATTAATATCTACACAAACCTGCTAGGAAAAGTCATCCATCCATTTGAGAGGACCTTCAATACATTGATGATACTCAGTTACACTTTGCCAACAAAGCACTCTTACTTAGTGCCTGTAGGCTGTGAAGGGCTGGAGGAGATGAAAGAAACTCAAAATGAATTCCAGCAAGATGGACTTCTCTTCATAATTGAACAATCTGGATCAACTTTGGCGTCAATGTTAGCTCTGTATGGGCGACAGATCTATGACCTTGGGGATTCTCTGGACTCAAAGTTCTTGCTTAAGTGGTAGATGGAAGTGCCTTCAACCCCACCTGATTTGACTACTGAAACGTCGTTGATATGGGGCTGCCTTTGAAGTTGACTAAAATGCAATTGCTGTACAATACAGTGGGTCTGGCAATTAATATTGATAATATTGACAGAATCTCTACAGTAGGATTGCATGCAAGCATTTGTATAAATAAATAAGAGCTGGTGCGTAAAGACTTGTTGTACCTAATTCATTTTTACAGTACATAACAGAAGCATAGATATAATGAGAGAAAACTGATTTTTTAAAAAGAAATCCACACATTTAGAGATTTTTGAGCATTAAAACATTATTCTGGGGATTAATCCTGTACTGGATATGTTCATTATCTCTTTTGTAATCTGCTAAATATGCAGCCTCCAAAGAATGAAACTTCACTGTTCTATCCTTGCTTAGTCCTAAATATTTTTCCTTGAAAACTGAAAGTCTAAAAGGTCACAGGCTGGAACTGAGTTCTTTAGCAGGGTCATAATATCAGTGACCTGATATGTTTTGTTGTTCTTGAGTCACATTGGCTCCAACCTTTACCACAAAGCTTTAACTGTAGCAGCAGCAGCAACAACAAAAACATAACCAAAATCTCTCTAGCAAATGCTTCTCTAGAGCCTATAAACTCTGATCATATTCTTACAGAGCACTAGAGCTAGTCTAAATAGGACACAGCCAAATTCTGCAATGGAATGTATTTAGCATTTCTATCTGATCTCAAAGCCCACCAGTTCATCTGATCCTTCATCCAAATCCTAAACTTCTTCAAGATGTGTACATAGTTGATCTACACAACACCCCATTGACACTCAGAAAGGAGGGAGGAAAAGCAGGGAAAAGAAGAGAGGGTAAAGCAGAGGAAGTAAGGGAGGGGAAGTAAGAGTAGGAGAGAGGAGAAGAAGGAGAAGAAGAGAGGAGGAGTGGGGGAAAGGGAAGGGAAGAAGAAAAGAGGAAGGAGAGGAGAAGGTAGAGAAGGGAGATTGAGAAGAGGGAAGGAGTAGCGTTGTTGTGAAACAAGATGGCGATACGGGGTGGCAAGAAAGTGACCCCAGCTGTACTTCCTAGGTTTGCAAGAAGATTGTGGTAAATACTAAATAGATAATTGTTAATACTATTTACAAGAATGTATATTTGTGAATGTAGATGAAAATAAAAACTAAACTTTATACAGAAAAAAGAGACACCAAAATTGCCAATTGCGCATGATCTTGCCCATGGTCATGAACTTCCTAGCTGAGCAATGATAGGCCATTGCTCAGAACCAATGTATTTATCTAGCCTATATTCTTTTATAATTTTATTTCTCTGTCACTCTTCCTCCCAGGGACACCTGCTACAGAACACAGACCATTGAGTCTAGTTCTCTCTCTCATTCTCTCTCTTGTTCTCTCTCTCGTTCTCGTTCTCGTTCCCCTCCCTCTCTCTCTGCATTGCTTTTCAAGCAGTCACAGATATAGATGTACTCATCAAAAGTGATGTAATTTTTTTTTCTGGCCAGGAGAAATTTAGCTCCCCTCCCCCCAATAGAAGAATAGCCCAAAAATCATGCACTATAGTATAGTTCTTACCCAGTGTTGGTTGGCTTGGAACAACCTGAGTAGAAGGTTTAGGGGTGAGAGATGTAGTGCAATGTACTCCATTTTCTGCTGGTGTAGGTTTAGGTTCATTGTGAGCTTCTGAAGGTACATCTCCTTGTTCTGCCTAACAATTCAAAACATCCCCCATAAAATATGAAAAAGGATTTGTGATTAGAGAACTTGCATGAGTTTTTTTTACTTTCAACATGTACAGATTCCGCCCGTAACAAACGCTGGTACTCCCGTACTAAGATTTATTCAAATTGTTCCTTGTTAAGAAAATTGTACCCATTCTCATTTCACCATATAAAAAAAAGACTTGCATAATAAAATAAATCTAGATGCCATTATTACTTTTCAACTCTTCTGATTACTTACATGGAAATGGAGGTGGTTTATTTTTTTTAAAAAAACCTTGAAATAAAAAATATATCTTTTTAACAAATAAATAGGAACAATCCAATTTCAAAATTAATATATAATTAAATGTACAGAGACCCCAACTTGGAAAGCTGCAGAACCTATTCTAGATCATGTTGGTAAAATACACCACTAATTTTAGCTCTAAAGAATCACCATGTCAATTAACCCTGCCAATGGAAAAGGACAGTAACACACATTTTCAAGTCGGTTTCTTTAATTGCTTTTCATCCAAATTTATTATCCCTGAAATTAAAAAAGAAAACCTAGGCTTAGGCATGCCAGTAAGTCAAGATCATCCCCTTTCTGCCTACAGAGCTCTGTAAGCTACTATGCTTTAAGGTATTAACTACGCAAATACAAGGACATTAGCAGAATGCACCAGTTACCACCTAACACCATATGACAGAGAATGATTTCTTTCGCTTTCCTTTCAGGGTTGTGTCCCAAAAGTCTGATTACTAATTCACCACTGAGGCACAGCAATAGTTCCCAGGACAGCTCGCCCATAATTATATTCAACAGATAAGCTTACGTAAACAGTACCTCCATCCTTGCCGCATGCTTGGATGACTATGCCTGTACCGTTCAACCTGTTTAAACATTCCCCACAACCTGTACTTCCTTTACCAGCTCTCAATGCCCATGTTTAGAGCTCATTCCTTTTTACTAGGCACTAATCCTCTCCCCCTTGCTTAAGGTCCTATCTATCGGAGGAGACTGAAGATTCCTGCTACACAAATGTGGAAGGGGGGAAGAAGATCCATAGTTACAGAGCACTGCTAAGCAGTTTGCCTCCTTGAGGTATGAAAATTTATATAAGGAGGACCTGTTGCCATGGTACCTTGCTGGATTAGCTTCTCTGCAGGTTTTCATTAGCATTCTTCACTGGTAATAAACTGATAGGAGGGGGAAACAGACAGCTCTTTTCTAAAAACCCTTCACCTTTTTAATAAGAAGGTATAGGTTGAACAACAGGGTGGGATAAATGAAACTAAAAACTCTGTTCTTGCACAACTGAGCATTACACACCACCAATAAGATTTTCCTCCCTGCTCCAATTTAGTACCTGAGAGGATAGCAGGCGTAAATTAGCTCTGACTGTCTATGCCTTACAATACATCCAGTCTTTCACGTGTAGGAATTATCTGTTTACATTTCCGCCCTAAAAAATTGAGGTGAGGTAGCTAATAAACAATTCTATATTGAATTTTGCTTGCTGGCATCTACTGAATAAAAGGAAGAACAAGGGGGAAAAAAAGGGAAAGTACAGGTACAATAAATAAAAGCTTGACAGCTTTGCAGATTAAACCAGCTAGCTCATAGGGAGATACATTTATTAAAGAGCATTTATTTGGCTCTTCATTACTAAGGTATTTATTTTGCTGGAACAAAAATGCAGTGTCTTAAGAGCTGGAGAGAAGCTGCTTAGAGAAACATTGATGTAATGCTGAATTACAGCCACAGCACTTGTTTGTGAAGGGATCCCTCACCTGGCACTGAAAGATAACTGCATCTGGGGCAATGCAGCAGATTTATCACACAGTCTCGTGCGCATAAACAAGGTGAGAAAGAGGAAGATGATTTCCTTGGGGGTGGGGAATCTTAACACACAGGTGTTCAGACTTGTAGAATTATGACTATGCCACGCTAACTAAAGCATGGTTGATGAAGATGAATAAAACAACTGAGCAGCGCTTTATCTTTCTTTTCCTAATTTGGTATTTGCTATGGTTTGCATTTTTATTTTTGGAAGTTGTTGCATCTAGAAAACAAATGTTCAGTTATAATAACTGGAGGAAGAAATCTGTACGAACAAGGCTGAGAAATATAAGTAGGTAATCAGATATTATATATAGGAGGGGTTTTTTTTGGGTGGGGAGGCTGATTTATTAAGCTATTTGAAAGGTTTATACAATACACATTGGGATTTATGTCCCTTTTCCAGATATGCGGAATCTGTTTGACTGATCTCTAACCATGACTCAGTTGTCCAAGACCATGGAAGCTTTGACCAAACACACATAAACTTAGAATTAAAATTAAACAACTAGCTGCAGGATCTAATATTTTCAACAAAATGATAAAGTGTGTCCTACATTCCTTTAGTACATGTGTATGGCGTTAGGACACGTGTGAGAAAAAAATGGACTTTGTGGCACAATGGATGACACTGCCTTTATTGGTTGCCCCCTTGCCCTCTCACCCAGCCCTTCTGGGGGGGATGTCTCTGTTAGAGGCAGTTTGTTTATGAGACTCAAGAAGAAAATAATATTTTTGTAGAAAACCATTGCACTTAATATTATTAACAATATTTTTAGTGTTAAAATTATTATTTTAAATTTAAATTGTTATTAACAATTATTAAGAAAAGTATTTCTTTCCAGTCATGAAAATGAAATGAAATGTGCTGTTCCATGTCTAAGCTTTTTTTAATTTATAGAAATTCAAAGGTATATAGTAAAAAACTGGCTCACATATGTAAATCAAAACACATGCTGTTGACAGAAACATGCAGAAATATACATTTTGTGTTGGGAATGCAACCTTCTGAAGGAAGGCATTAACTTGTGAGGATCACTTTTCTTATGCTACATTTTAGGAAACTGATTCAAAAAAGAAAAAGAAATCCATTCTGTTTCTTATGGTAGATCCACATTGCAAGACATGATGGAATTAGAGGCTACCTGCAATGCAGAATTCAAAGGCTAAAACTGTTTAAAGTTTCTGTTACTGTTATTGACATTATTGGAACATGGAACTGGATGGGGAGAAATAGGCTTAGAGTCATCTCAAGTGACTGTGGATCTGTAAACCAACTGAGACTAGAGATAGTTGACGTATCAACATCATATGTGAGCCAGTTTTTACTATATACCTTTGAATTTCTATAAATTAAAAAAAGCTTAGACATGGAACAGCACATTCACTTCATGATGGTCTCTGGATAGGGTAATACTTCTCCTTACCAATTGACTCCATACTGTGTGGGTCTTCCTGGAGTCATAGCTTCTGATTGAACAGCAGGTGGAGACCATTTCCAGGGCAGCTCTTATGTGCCTTTTTTCCCCCGGATATGGCAGCTTTCATTGCTGTCCTTTGTGTGGTTTTTACCACGCATATATATTGTGATATTGGAGTGATCTTGGAGATATATCCTGAAGTTCAGGTGGTCTAACTTGCACCAACCTACTATAGGTAGTTACAGGAACATCAAGGTTCACCCACCATGAGCTGCAGTGGCGCAGTGGTTAAAAGTGCAGTACTGCAGGCTACTTCTGCTGATCATCGGTTGCCAACAGTTTGGCAGATCGAATCTCACCAGGCTCAAGGTTGACTCAGTCTTCCATCCTTCCGAGATTGGTAAAATGAGGACCCAGATTGTTGGAGGCAATAGGCTGGCTCTGTAAACCGCTTAGAGAGGGCTGTAAAGCACTATGAAGTGGTATATACGTCTAAGCACTATTGCTATTGCTATGTAATACCATGAGTATGGAGATTACAATGGCTGCCAGTTAGGTTTTGGGTGCAAGCCAACATACTCATGTCTCCTTTAAAGACTTACATTAATTAGAGTCTGGATATAGTTATGCTTGCCTTCTCCAAAGTGAATCTACTATTTAGAAAGCCCCCAGACAGTCTGACCACTGAGGGAATATACTTTTATTAGATGAGTGGTCCCATAAAATATTTAAATGAATAAAGATTTCAAACTTCTCAGTGATACACTCCCTGTCCCTCTGGAAGCACATAAGCAAGCAAATAAATAAATGTTTCAAATACCAGTTTATTTAACAACATTACCGAGCAGTGAGTGTAATTTGTAATGTCATTACTTTGAATAATGGAATCAGTCAGTGGTGGGTTTCAAATTTTTTTAGAACCTCTTCTGTAGGTGTGGCCTGCTTTGTGGGAATGGCTTGCCAGCCATGTGATGGGGTGGGCGTGGTTTGCCGGCCATGTGACTGGGTGGGTGTGGCCAACTTGTAAATTGTGGTGAACTCACTTAACAACGCTCTTGCTTAGCAACCAAAATGTTGGCTCAGAAACTCTGGCATTGGAGTGTGCAAGTCTTAAAGCTGTCAAGTTACAAGACCCTTGCACTCCTTTAGAAAAAAAAACCCATGGGTGTTCAAACTTGACAGCTTTAAGACTTGTGGACTTCAATTCCCAGAATTCCTTCTCTCACTCTTCATCTTGATGATGTGCAGATGGGTGGGGGGAGGGAGCTGGAACTGGTTCTAAACGGCATGTAGATTTGTGGAACTTCTTCTATAGAAGAGGTTAGAACTGGCAGGAACCCACCCCTGGAATCAGTCCACTGTAGAACAAGACAAGCCACATGAGTGACCCCATAATTTCCTGCATGTCTTTTGATTATTCCAATCTCTGTAAAGGAGCAAATCTCAATGTAGGGCATACAATTTAAGAAAATATTAAAAATTGACATGTGTGGATATCCTTTCCAATGTTAATTCTTTTCCCTACAATCTTACATCATCATGTAGTATGTTCAATGGTTATTTCATCAAATTCCAATTCTTACCTCCTTCTTTATTTCTTCCTCATCTTCTAGAGTCAGTGCTGCCAGTTGTTTTGCTCTCTGCTCCATCAGGTTTACGTATCTGATTGGATTGGATAATGCCTCAATAACATCTGCAAATGAGAGAGAGAGACTTAGAACCCAATGCTGCTTTCTATCAAATAGTACCAACTCTTTTAAAAATAAAAACTGATCTATCATCTTAAAGTTACGCTCATTTTTTTATATTTATTAATCTTCAAAGCCAATTTAAAGAAAATAGTGGCCTAATGCAACTGAAGGAGGAGGAGGAGGAATTAAATTCCAAGTTTGACATAAAAAGCAGAGACGGTGCAGGAAGGAGCAACATCAGTAGTTTACTAGGAAAGCACAGCAACATGAAATCAAGGAACAGAGTTAGAGTCCTCAAGAACTGAGCACCTTCTTCTAGGACCCAGATTGTTGGGGGCAATATGCTGACTCTGTAAACTGCTTAGAGTGAGCTAGAAAGCAATGTGAAGTGGTATATACAGAAAGTTTAAGAGCTATTGCTATTACTCACTGTCTCAAATTCTTAATGCAAAGGTTCAGTTAACAGTAGTTATTTTAGATGCTGACAAAATATGAGGCTTTGTAAGCAAAATAATTGTAAGTTACGTTTCTACGTTATCTTTATAAATTTGATAGTTACCTGCGTAGGTATCTGGTACGTAATCTTTAACCTCAATGTATACAAATATGGCTGGCAACATCAAGGGCTGATTCCTTTCATTCCTCAGGCAAATATAATGATAACCTGTGGGAGAAAAACAGTGGGACAGCTATTCTCTCTGGGCCTCCAGTTCTCTTACAAGTTAACGAATGCAGCACTGCAGGCAATATCACAAGAAACTGATAAATGTTTAACTCGGGTAAGACAGTTAATGTTCAAGTTCATGAAAGTAAGCTGTAAAGAACAAAGGCACATCCATCACAATATTATTGTGTGCCTGAAATGTCCAATGACTCATCTGACTCCATGTGGCTTCCTTTCATTTAAACGTTTATATTTTGAAAATCACCTTTTGATTAAAAATCTGGAAAACTGGAACTGGAAAACTACCTGGCAGCCATTCTGTGTCACCACCTATTAATGTGTTCTTACAATGCAATTGTGGAATTCAGCAGGTTTCTGACCAGTTCTGGAGAACTGGTAGCGGAAATTTTGAGTAGTTTGGAGAACCAATAAATACCATTTCTGACTGGCCCCACCCCCATCTATTCTCTGCTTCCCGAGTCCCAGCTGATCGGGAGGAAATGGGGATTTTGCAATAACCTTCCCCTGGAGTGGGGAGGGAATGGAGATTTTACAGTATCCTTCCCCTGCCACTCCCACCAAGCCATGCCCACAGAACCTGTAGTAAAAAATTTTGAATCCCACCACTGAATTGTGCCCCCTGAGTCCAAGGAGAGTAGGAAAACCTGCTCAGGTGTTTGAGCAGCAATATGCAGCCTTGGGAAAGTCCCAGTTTGTTAGGAAGCTGAAAGGTAAGCTCAAAGAATAAGGCTTAGCATTTGCTACTGGAGGATTATAAATGCCCTTGAAGAGCATCCGGTGACTTCAGCTAGTCCGGAATGCGGCCATGCGAGTGATTGTGGGCGCACCGCGGTTCGCCCACATAACACCTATCCTCCGCGAGCTGCGCTGGCTACCTGTTGATCTCCGGGTGCGCTTCAAGGTGCTACTTACCACCCATAAAGCCCTCCATGGTAGTGGATCTGAGTACTTGAGAGACCGCCTCCTGCCAATTACCTCCCTACGACCTATTAGATCACACAGATTAGGCCTCCTCCGAGTTCCATCCGCCAGTCAGTGTCGACTGGCAACTACGTGGAGGAGAGCCTTTTCAGTAGTAGCTCCGACCCTTTGGAACGACCTCTCTGTGGAGATTCGCACCCTCACCACCGTCCAGACCTTCCGCACAGCCCTCAAGGCCTGGCTATCCCGTCAGGCCTGGGGATAAAGATTCTAATCCGTCCCCACCCGAATGATGAATGAATGTTGTGTTCTATTTTTACTTATGTATTGTCTCATGTCTTGTCTTGTATTCCCCTCCCCACAAACTGTAAGCCGCCCTGAGTCCCCTCAGGGAAAAGGGCGGCCTAGAAATAATAAACAAATCAAATCAAATTAAATCAAATGGAAGATAATGTTTGGTGTTTCAGGCTTGCAACTGCCTAGAAGCCCTCTTAGAGAAGGGAGAAGTCATGAAATTAGAGGAAGGACTGATAACTTTGTGGACCAAAGCAGGAACTCATCTCAGAGATAAGCCAACATGAAATAGAATTTGAGGACTTGTGAAAGCTTCCTTTCCCATATGTCATTTCCTAAATGGTCCAGGCCAGTTTTGGGATCAGGTTTACTGCCATTTCTCCCGAAAACAATCTCCACAGGAGGGAGCAGCAGTCTTGGCTGGAGCATCAAGGGGAAGGAGGTGGATTCAGCTGCCTTAGGTCTCAAGATGTCATCTCCCAGTAAGTCCTCTCACAGTTGTATATTTACATATGCAGGAAACATGTTACCCGAGTTCTGTTTGCCTTCTTCCCTTCTTTCAAGATTAATGCAATAACAAAAACAACAACAATAATCCAAATCTCTACCTGGTCGAATTGCTGATACTGGTAATATCCGATGCCCGATAAACTTTCCTCCTTCTTCATAAGCAGCTATCCTCAAACACGCTAGAGAAGGCAGGACGACCTGAGGAGAGATGTTTTCTAGTCTTTTATGGTGCATTACATACACAGAGTTGGAATAAGAAGCATTTTCACAGAGATATTTCTGGAAATTGTTAACAGGATTTGAATAATACTTGGAAAATACACAGTCTGAGTCTTTGGTGAAGTTTTCCCTCACTCATTCACATACAGAGAAAAATTACCCTTGGGAACGTCATTCTTGGCAACTGTATAAGCATGTCTATGTAGTCGTTCTCCTGGCAAGCATACAGAAGCGGTTTATTTTTTCTAGGATTTTTTTTTCTTTCTACTTTTTAATCTAGTTTATACTTTGGAGATTTCTTGGTGGTCTCCCATCCTAATACTAATCAGATTTCACCCTGCATAACTAACTGAGATCAGCTAAGGTCGGCCACAAGAAAGAAAACAAAAAAAAGATAATCCAAGTCTCTCTTATACCGGAATGAACTGTACTACAAGAGTTTAAAAACATTTTAATTAGTAAGAAAAGCATCTTTTCTCTCTCTCGCAGGTTCTTTATGATGACAGATAGTCTCATTTAGCAACCACAATTGGAACCAGCAATTCAGTTGCTAAACAAAGTGGTTGCTAAGTGAAACAGTGATTGTGTTTCTGGTCTTCACCTCTGCTTAAATTACTGAAAGACATAGTAATTTTTTAAAAAATATATATGAAATGTTTCATAATAACTTTTGAATGCTAAAATTTAGCAAAGCAATGTGTCAATCAAATCTCTTCAAAGAGGATATACATTAGCTACATATTCTTAAACCGTATAAATATTTATAGATGTTTAAAATAAAAGCATGTCTCCATCAATTTTTTTCTTTTAACGACCCTGTAATCTCCTGTATCAGGATGGAATCTGGGCAACTTAATGGAGCTCAGCGTTTCCTGGCCGGGATGCCTTTCCCGATGCCTATGCAAAGTTTACAGCAGATATTTTCACTATGCACCCAGAGAGAAAAATATCCGTTGCTACCTAGGATCAAACTCACAGCTTCCTAATTGTGAGGCGACAGCACCACCTGTAGGCTACCACACCACTCAATATCAACAGCAAACCAATATAAGACATAAAAGATTTTTCTTCATAAAAAAATCTCCTGTAAAAAGGATAATGTCCTGTCAGCCCTTCAAAGTATGCCATGTCACAAGACTGACATCAGGAAATACTAAAACATAACTATGTATTGGTATAATAGCAGACATTACAATACATTCTTTAATATTCTGGCTTAATAACCTAAACATTGAAATGTAATAAAATAAATTAAAAAGGGTAAGCCGTATTTGATGGCAAAATATGAAATGATCATAGATATAAAAATTATGAGCTATCTAATAATAATAACTAGTGTACTGTTATATTCGGGTAAATTAAAAGGAAAATGAGTATAAACAAAAAAATATAAAAAACCAACAAAATAAATAACTTCCTAGGAGACGCTGTTTATTTGTTGATTTCTTTAAAAGATCTGCACGGCTGCATATCCTAGAGCACAACTCTGGGCAGCTCACAACAACAATAAAACCACAAACACCATAAAAACCATAATTATTGCCTTATCCATGAAAGCCAACTGTGGGTGACTTTGGAGCAGTCACTCAGCCCAGTCCAATCCATCTCACAGGGTGGTTATTGTGGGGAGAAAAGGAGGAGGAAGTTGTGTTGGAAATGTTTGGCGCCTTGAGTTATTTGTAAAAATAATAAAGACAGGATGTAAAAGAATAAAACAAAGAAATAAAAAACAAAATGAAGGCCTGGTGCCTCAGTCATTCTCCTGAGATGTCCCAAGGCTCCATACCTCCTCAGTTTCTACTTCTATCACAATCACTACCTGACCTCACTCTTCCCTTCTGTAGTTTCATTAGGCAAACAAATGCCAACATTATTACTAAAATAATAAAATGGTAATAATAAAAGAACACGACTAGAAAAGAAGGATCTAAATAAAATGCACCTATGGGCAGCCATACAAGTCCTATAAACAAATCGATCCATGAATTCAACTACCATAGAATAAATCATCTTTTATCAGTAAACACTTAGGAATCTAAAGTTAAAGGAAGAAATCTTTCTTTACAATTCAGGTAGAACAGAATTAGAGCAGACAGAATTTTTAAGTGATACAAAATTAGCAAAAATCAGAAGATAATAGCCATGCCTTATTCTTTTGCAGAGGGAACAAATGCAAATACCAACCTTCTTAAACACTATGGCTTCTTCTTCCCATACAGGATTCACAGCATTGCCTTGAGATGTCTTTGTCTTGAGAGCTTTTCTTCTCGTATCCACAGGTAGACCAAACATATCTACTTCGACGTAAGTTCCAACTTTTTTGTCAGAAAGTAACTGCCCAGAAATGACCTAAATATGAAAGGTTGGGACATCTGTTAACACACCTTTGTTTGCAATTCAATTCACACTGACTAAAAGACTTCCTTTCTTAATATATAAAACTTATAACAAGAGAAAATGGTTGGGAAGAGTCTACCATCAGTCCTTCACCACAGACTGATCACTCTGTAATTGTCTTAGGAGGAGAACCTATCCCAGGCTCCTGTTGGACCCAGCTGGGTTTCAGAAGGAGCTTGGACTCATTCTTGAAGGTGAGTTGCACAGTTCAACTGGGACCTTGAATTAGATTGGGCCTATGTGGCTCTCCTTAGTTTACAAAAACATTGAGTGAAAAAATGACAAAAGAAGCATGAAGAGTACCACTAAAGCACAACAAAAGATGATCACACAGCGTAGAGCCTTTATTCAAGGTTACTTTGTGGTGACAAAACTAGCAGATTTATAGTGCATATTTTTCTTCCTTTATCAAGTCCAAAGATAGCCAATTGACAACTCTACTGAGTTGTGGGAGATTGCATCCCAATTTGGTAGGACAGAGTCTGTCATTGCTATAGGGCCATTGTGAGGAATATTCTAAACATGTGTTAGATAAAATTGCTCAGATTGGTTTATATAGGTCTGGTTTTGAGCTTGAACCTGCTAGTCCCAAGGAAGCAGACAGACTCCTTAAGACTGTAAGTTTGACCAGATATATATTAGACCCATGTCCATTCTGGTTGGAGGCTTCCTGGGAGATGACATATGATTGAGTCCAAGCAATGGCAAATTCATCCCAGAGAGTGGAGGCGATCCGGCTGATGTTTAAGGAAGAGATGATCCTACATCTCCTCAAATAGTCCTAGCTGGCGCAACCACACTGTACAATTTTCATCGGGCCTCCAACCTTCCATTTTTAGGGAAAGTTGTTGAGAAGGTGCTTATACTGCAGTTTTAGAAGACCCTGGAGGAAGTGGACTATATGGATGGATATCTTTCAGTCAGGCTTCAGACCTGAATATGGGAACAAAACGGCATAGACTTGCAGATGACCTATAGAGGGGATGATGCCTCTATCTTTCCTCTCCTTGATTTTTGGGTGGTTTTCAACACCATCAATCATGACATCCTTCTAGACCAGTTGAGGTGGTTAGAAGATGGCAATTTAGTGTTGCAATGAATTTTCTTCTTCCAGGACTGATTCCAGTGAGTAGGAGGGGAGATAACTGAGACTTTTTTGTGGACTCCCCTCCGATAATAATGTCTCCCTACCCTTCTGTATTTCTTGACTACTGCTTCTTTTACTATTGATGGTTGATTCTAAAAGGCAGAAGCTATCCAGCACTTTGATATGTTCATTATCAATTCTAAGGCTAGTTATTTAACCTTTGCCATCAGTTTGACCTTCTTTATATAATTAATTAAGCTTTTTTTCTTGTCCAAACATGTGTATCATCTCCCTTTCTTCAATTTGGGCATAATTTCTATTTTCCTGGTTATAAATATCAGAATGTGACGTTCAATATACTTATAACATATGCTTATAACAAGTAACTTGCATATATGAGTTTCACACTTTTTAAAAATATTGGGAAGGAGTGCATGAGAAGTTATTTTGATCTTTCAGGTTCATTAAGCTTATAGAATTTAGCAGATGAGCAACTGGATACCTACCTTTACAGACAAAGTGTTTGCGACTATTCCGTCTACAATACTTTCCGTAAATGGATCAAAATGCTTGTCTGGTCTTCTCATAAACTCTGGCTTTAGTCTGTATCCACTTTTGCCATTATACTCATACATCCCCATATTTATTTGCATAGACAAATCTAGGTGAAGAAAAAATAATTGTGTTATGGGATACTACAAAAATACATGTTAATGGGACAATAGAAAAAGCCTAACCAGAAGTACAACACTGAAATTTTATTAGAAGCTTCCTGGCCTCTTTAAAAATTCGAAGTTAAAATAGGTATAGTCCTTGACTTACTATCACAATCGACCCCAAAATTTCTGTTGTTAAGTGAGACATTTGTTAAGTGAGTTTTGCCCCATTGTACGACCTTTCTTGCCACAGTTGTTAAAGTGAATCACTGCAGTTGGTAAGTTAGTAACATGAATGTTAAGTGAATGTGGCTTCCCCATTGTTTTTGCTTGACAAAAGATTGCAAAAGTGGATCATGTGACTTTGGGACACAGCAACGGTGATAAGTATGGGTCAGGTGCCAAGCATCTGAATTTTGATCACATGATCCTGGGGATGCTACAAAGGTCATAAGTGTGACAAATGGTCATAAGTCACTTTTTTCAGTGCCGTTGTAACTTTAACGGTCGCTAAATCAACTGTTGTTAGTCGTGGACTAGATGTATAATGAAGTCTGTCTGTAAAAATAACAAGCTAATTTTCCATTCAACATTACAATATTTTGAGCTTATCTTCAGGACTATTCACAAGGTGTTTTTTTTTAAAAAAATATCCAAGACAATGATAATAGATTCTTATGTACATATAGATTGATTATTTAGCAATAGCAATAGCAGTTAGACTTATATACCGCTTCATAGGGCTTTCAGCCCTCTCTAAGCGGTTTACAGAGTCAGCATATTGCCCCCAACAATCCGGGTCCTCATTTTACCCACCTCGGAAGGATGGAAGGCTGAGTCAACCTTGAGCCGGTGAGATTTGAACAGCCGAACTGCAGAACTGCAGTCAGCTGAAGTAGCCTGCAGTGCTGCATTTAACCACTGCGCCACCTCGGCTGAATATGCTCAACAATAACAGCATGTAAAGTGCTGTGACATCTGCCTAAAGTGGTCTGAATAATCACAAACCTATTTATGCTGCCCACTGAATCTGTGCAAAGCAGCACGGACTAAAGCCAGCTGGATGAAGAGACCTCTTAGTCTTTGTCCATGGTCTGGGTTACATTATGTATTTTTTTTTTTAAAAAAAAACAATAACACTATTATCCCCTCCACCGAGCTGAAAGAGATTCTTTTTAAGTTCTGGTCTAATTTTTATTTAGATGAAAAGGAAGGAGAGACAATGTCACTTGCCTCACTAGGTTTGGCAGTTATAACAAAGCAGGAGTGAGGTAGTCAGGTGCTAGCAACAAATCTCTGTAATAATTAATAATTGCCGACTGTGCTGCCAAACTCATTAAAACCATGTGCCACTTTTTAATAAAGCAGCTAGTGCTTTCATTTTGATTTCACACCAACTGATCCTCTTTGAAAATACGGATTCTCAGCACTGAGTGGGTAATACAATTCTGAACTGGGTAAATGAAAAGCTTTCCACATTATCATGTCTGAGATCCAGAAGGCAACAGAAACAAATGAACAATCACTTGCTAATATTAATTTCCTACTGCCTATAATCACATGTTTTTCACTGCTCATATTCATAAGCTTGTAATATTTTCTCAAATATATTGCTGTTATTAAAATATGTTCCTCGTTTTAATATCACTATAGAGCTAGGATCAAAAAAATCCATCAAAGAAACATGGAGAATACCAACCCATGTAATGAATTATTGGTAATCATGATTTGCTTAAAAAGCTTCTATTAATGCAAATTACTTATTCATGCCAAAGTTTTAAAGAAGCAACTCGTTTCAGAAGTATGCATGCCACTCTTAGTATCTTTAATTTTTCACAAACTTGGTGTTTCATTATCTACTATTCTTCCTTATCAGAAAACATACAATAACATAGATCTTACCTACAGTTTGGAAGTTCAGAGCAACCATTTGACAGCCTGCATTCCAGAACAGCTGAGGCATGTAATTTGAGGAATCAACACGTGTCCCTTTGGGGTAAATTCGGCTCAGCTGCATTTTATTATATCTAAATTGTGAGTGGTTAAGATAAAATACAACCAGAGAAACTACTAGGTTAAAAGTTTGCACAAAAAATTACTTGTTAATTTTTGAAAGGAATGGTGATGCCAGATTCAGCCCTGGCTTTTTCTTATCTATTGCTATTATCATCTTGATAGGTAAGAAGTTGGATCTGGCCTTAGAACTATAATAAATTGGATCTGATAGTAGGGACGGGGCTGATTCTGAGAACCTTAATAAAACAGGTACTGATTTGCAAAATGGGTATGTTTGCTAGGAATTATTGTGGGAAAGAGTAAAAACAAACAAATTCAAACTTCTTTGTTGCCTGAGGCCAGTCTATGGATAGTTGAGATAACCAACACTCACATGTACTCATCCATGCCATCATGACACAGTGAGCCCTGCCACTCCAAAGCAACTAGATGAATGGGCACTTCTATAAAGAGGTGCCATCATCATGTAATAATATTGGCTTTACAGTCCCACAAAGTGCCGATTTATAGAATCAGAAGAGCCTCTATGGATTCTGCTTTGTATCTACGACAAGGATTTGTGTCAAGGATTTAATGTTTTGGTGCAAATGAGATACTTTGACTCTTCGTTATATAAAATATAACAGCAAGAGAGAAAAAGAGTGGTAGAATCCAAGGACGGATCTTATATTTTGGACAGATCCTGAAAATAAATCTACAAAACTCAAAATGAATAAATGGATAGATTAAAATATCTCCCCCCTCCCCAAAAGCCTCTATATATTTTGGAATGGAATTGTTGCTCACTTGACACAAAACATGATAAATGGGGACAAGAGGAAGACTATAATCTCACTATTGGAAACATGAAAAGCTTCCTCATATTAACAGAGTCTTAAATCTGACAATGTCAAGTTTGATTGGCAGCCATTCTTCAGTAGTAATTATGTTTCTTATCACCAAGTACCATAGTTGTTTTGATTTTAATTTAAAATGTCATGGAGCAGCAATATGTCATCTGTTCTGTGCTACATTTTGTCCATGTAGAATTCACTCTGAGGAACTATAAATATATCCACAACATATAATTGATAAATACTTAACTAGGAATGTAAACCTCATTCATTTCTGTGTTGCTCTTCTAAGTTTTAATTAAAAGGGATCAATACCTTTATGGGGGGGGAAACCCTAAAACATTGCTTTGCTATCCGAGTGTGTGTGTGTGTGTGTGTGTGTGTGTGTGTGTGTGTGTGTGTGTGTGTGTGT